TCATCAAAACCCTTATAATCTGAAATTTTCTCTAATTGTCTCGCCCACTCAAGAAAATCTTCGGGGCTTCCTAGACCCGTAAAATCATCAAGCTTGATACCTCTATCATCAATCTTATGCTTATTATTATTATCATCATCACTACTAGAAGCATCACTATCACTATCATCATGTTTTTTCTTCTTTTTCTTGTTATCAAGCAATAATCGTGAGAAAGCATTAACACGTTCTTCCGTACTATCTTGTAACCTTGCGAAATCATCCGCGAGTTTTTTTATAACTTCCTCCATAATTATGTGAAACAAACAGACTTAAAAGACCCCAAAACACACAGGAATAACCCACAAAACAACTTGGAACAAAATCGCACACAAAGAGCAATAAGTATCAAATCGGACCAAAACTGACACAGTTGTGGAAAACAGTCCAGTTTTATAGCAAAAGAACTCGAAAAATTCTGAAATTTTACAGGCAGAAAGTAGACAAAATTTCACCCAAATTCAAAAAAAGAATCACCTGAAAAGATCTCGTAACGAAGGAGAACAAGCCTTCAGAAGTTGACGGAAAAAACTGATTTTCCGAGAACAAGTGCGATTTGAACGAGCTATAAAACGATCAAAAACCCCTGAAACCTTATACCAATTTGATGTGGATTTAAACCCCTTAACTTAATAAAGAATCTAAAATCACACAAGTAACACAAGCCTTCCGAATTTCCTAAGAAAATCGAACAATTTAAGAACGAACCGGATATGACTTTGAAAACGACCACTCCTGGAACGAATTTAATGCCTATTCAAACTACCTAGACCACTCCTGGAACTAAGTATTTTTATGAACAAAACTTAGACTACTCCTAGAACTAAGAATTGAACGTTCTAAATATCAAAACAACTCCTTGAATTGAAAACTAGCAAAGAAAAGTTTAAACAAAGTTAAACAATTTGTATTGAAATTAATCTGATTTTCTTATCTATCTAAAGCCACGAAAATTACCCCTATTTATAGACATAGGAGGCAACTAATTGTACTCCTACAAGAATTAGGATAAACCCCTAACCTTGTTCCCCAAGTATCCTAACTAGAATAGAATTACTTCTTCTAACTAGAATAGGAAAACTTATCCTAATCAAACTCTAATTAACTAAAAACTTTCCTAATAACCTTAGGAAGTTTATAGCAACTAAATAACAGTATTTTAATCTTATCCTAAGTGCTTAAACCAAGAAAAACCCTTTCAAGTGAAAGGTAAAAAATTGCACGCAAAACTCTAGAAAAAACTAAGGATGGAATTTCTTCCATTTTGTATCGCCGCCGTCAGACCACCACACGCGCCGCCACTAAGGACACGCGCCTGACCGGCGTGTAACCCAGCTCATGCCAGAGCCGGGGAACCGACGCGTGGCACCCAGGTCGGCTCGTCGCCGCTGCTGTCTTCGTCAGAAGGTAACAACTCCTTTCCTTCTTCCTTGATAACCAAGCAAGTGACCCATCCTTGACTTTTCCCTCCAAGTTCGAACCCTATTGGACTCAAAATCAATGTAATTGGTTCTTTAAAAGAATTTCCCTCTTGATTCACATCAAATACCAACCTATATATAGGTGACTTGCAAAAGGGGGCACGCGCCAGTCACAATATAGAGCAGTCATTCCACCATTCTTCCAAAATGCTTCAAAATGACGAGTGGGCGCTTCAAAGACCTCACATAACAACTCAACTTCAAATGTTCATAACTTCTTCGTTTCTCGCTCAAAATTAAGAATATGACCTATCAATGTATAGCTCTTGGATTCTACTTTCATCTCCAATTAGAATCGTTTGAATTATCTTTGTAGTGATGAAGATATTGCTTTTTGAAATTGAGTAGTGCACAATCACCCTTGGAGCTTTATTCTAGGCAAAATAAAAGGATACTACTCTAGCTTGAGGATGTTCAAACTCGAGAGTTAGACCACCCAAAGCTTTAGCAGGTTCACGTGGATTACATGTGGTATTTCTTCTACTTCCTCTGTTCCTTTATAGATGCATCACCTTCAATATAAGGAAGTTTTATATTAGATGCATCACTTAGTTAATAAATTCTCTCTCATATCACATGGCTCCTTGTTTTTCTTTCTCTCTATCTCTCTCATCTCTAATAACTACCTAGGATTTCGTGTTCTTGCAAATGATACAACTGAAAAAAAAATGGAGAAAGTACCTCATTTTCCACTAGACTAATGCTTCCGCATCATAAAGTGAGCACAAAACTTGTATTCTATTAAATTGCTCTATAAAGTAACACCACTTAGAGTTTTCTATGACTCCATTAAATTATTATCATTCAAAGCTTTTAATCAAATCAAGTGATCATTATGTGTTGACAAAAAGGTAGAAGCATTACCTTTATTTGATACTAAAATCACCTTAATATTTTCTACTATAAAACTTGTTAATAACATTTGATTTATTAAGAATGTCACTGGTGTTATGTCGCCTTCGATGATCTCTTTGTCAATCCCGCCTTCCTTTGGTATAGTCAATGTACAACTTTTCGTACTTGAAAAGGTAGAGGTTGGCGGAGAGGAAAGCTACAACAGGGTTATACTGGTTTACAAAGGACAAAAGTTTTGCTTATGACTAAAACTTATATTTAGAGTCCATCACCAAATGTCCTTCAAAGTCTTAGCCACAACCAGATTTGAAAATTTGCCTTTACTCTATTCAAGTTCTTTTTCCCAAAGACGTCCCACTACGACGGCCCGACAAGTCAATGGGTCAATAACCCATCCTAGTTCCTCTTTTTATTTGTGCACTTTTAATATTAGTATTGTTTTAAAACCTTGTTGGTACCACATCAGTACCATCTAAGCTAATAATAGTACTATCCTAATAGTTTTATTTCTAGTCGGTAGGACCAAGGTAATCACCAATTTATCTTTATAGTGTCATAGTAGATGCCAATAGATAGTGACTAAAAAAGCCCCTTCCTGGTTGAAGCAAGAACCTCTTATAAAAGACCTTTGCTCTAAATACCATGGCAGCCTCAACAGTGGATATTCCTGCCTGGCTTTTCTTCTGCCATGGACATTGCAGTGTACATTACCTTCTTTTTTCTGTGATTTGCTATACCTGACATTCAATGTCCAGAGGAAAAGGATCTTTATCTGTTTATAAGTCATCCTATTACAAGCCCTTGTCCCCTCATTCATGTCTAGTGTGAGTGATGCTCTTCTCCCCCACCCCTTTTATCCAACACTTCAAATATTCGTTAATAAATTGTCAGCAGAGTCTTTAGTTTCAAGTCTTTATCATTTCTTTTGTGTGTGATTAATGTGAATATGACATACATATGTATCACCAATATACATAGTTTCATAGCACCGTGCACCGTAGTAATAAAATATATATTTCCTCCATGTTTTTAATATTGGCAATACTTCCCTAATATAGAAATGTCACAATACTTGCAACACACTATAATTGGATAGGGTTTTTTTTTTTGTGTGAAACTTACACTACTATCCTTATTAAAAGTGTGAAGTCATGTGTGGCGCACTTTTCTTAAACACCATGAAAAAGTGTGTTGCAACTATTAGAAAATGAAGTATCATTTTAGAAATTTCATTAATCTCTTTGCTGATTTTCTGGTATTTTATGCTCTATGTCTGACTTGACTGATTTAGTACTATCATGGGTGTAGATAATGGAACAATGTGTTGCAAGGTTGGATGTAGCCATGTTTAATGCTATTCTTCGAGAATCTGCTGATGACATTCCAACTGATCCTGTTTCTGATCCTATTACCTTTCTGAAGGTTCTCCCAGTTCCAGCTGGAAGATCAAGCTTTGGTTCTGGTGCACAGCTTAAAAACGCAGTATGGAGCTTTTCTACTTTATGTATATTATTATGTTTCTGCTTCAAGTAGTTGCTAATAATCTGTATCTGCTGAGCTTTTTCTGTCTGAAAATGGACTCCTATCTAGTTTTATCAATAGATCCTAATAGATACTTCATATATATATTTTTTTTTCCCGACAAGTTCTTTCAGAATAGGCAGTCCTGGACAGATTTGCCTTTCTGGCTTGCATTACTTTCCAGATACTGACTTACGATGCCCATTTTGAGCCGTTAGGCCAAATTTGCCTAATAGTTCAAGCTTGTCAACTTTGACCATTAATTTGTTGCTATAGATGACGAGTTATGTACTTATTATCTGAAGACATCTTTGTGATTATATTGTTAAAAAGTCTTTTATGGTAAACAAGGGTCAAAGTTGATAAGGTTTGACTATGGCAGTATATTGTAGCATTTTTCTATTAAACGAAAGGGTACAAATTTTTGACTTTGATGACATGGTTTAAAAAACATTCACTTTCATGAATATATGGCAGATTGGAAACTGGTCTAGATGGTTATCTGACCTATTTGGCATGGATGATGATGATGCACCAGAAGATGAAAGGGAGGATAAGGAAGATGATGACAGCGAGGGATTTCAATATGATTCATCCTTCAAATCGTTCTCTCTGCTTAAATCATTGAGTGATCTTATGATGCTTCCGAAAGACATGCTACTGAATGAGTCAATCAGAAGAGAGGTTTGTACTTTTACACTTTTGAAACTGGATTTTTTCCCAAATTGAGCTTTATTGGTAAATTATTTACCAAATTGGTCTCGTGGGAAAAGTATTTCCCAAACTAAGCTTCTGGGGTGAAACGCTGTCTCGGACAGCGTTTTACACCCAGTTTTTTTTTTTAAAAAAATCAAGAAGTAAAACGCTGTCTCAGACAGTGTTTTACCTTGTTGACCTGTTGGTATGTATTTTGGCAAAATATACTAGTATATTTTGCCAAATTATACTGGAATATGTATATGGGCTTTAAAACGCAGCCTGAGGCAGCGTTTTATGTTGAAGCATAAAACGCAGCCTAAGGCAGCGTTTTATGTTGAAGCATAAAACGCAGCCTGAGGCAGCGTTTTATTTGAAGCATAAAACGCAGCCTGAGGCAGCGTTTTATGTTGAAGCCTAAAACGCTGCCTGAGGCTACACTATCCACCACCATCAACCACCTCCCCCACCACCTCCGGCCGCCACTCTCGACCACCCCTATGCAATGCAAAACACCCTAAACAACGCAAGGACATTCCCACCACCCCCATCATTAACCACCACCATCCACCACCATCAAACACCTCCCCCACCACCACCGGCCGCCACTCTCGACCACCCCTATGCAATGCAAAACACCCTAAACAACGCAAGGACATTCCCACCACCCCCATCATTAACCACCACCCCCACCACCATCAACCACCTCCCCCACCACCACCGGCCGCCACTCTCAACCACCCATAAACTACCATAAAACACCCTAAACAACGCAAGAGCATTCCCACCACCAGCCCCAACCTTTCCACCACCATCGACCACCACCGACAACCATCAAACACTGGAAACAACCCCAACAACATGATAACCATCGTGAAACAGCACTTTAAGTGCAGGAGACCAAATATATGCTGCTTGATACATATAACGGATATAAAAGATATAGTTTCACTAACAAAAGTCAAATTCAGACAAATAAGGGAAATAAACTTCAAATTGTACAGAGTCATTTAGAAAACATTTCTTGTATTAATAATGTAAGAGTTATATACAACATTGTTAAATATCTAAGTACCACAAAAGGATCAACTAACTAATACTATCCGGACTCATGTATTGGAGTTAACTGATCTCCATCCTGTGTGTCCTCCGTCCGTCTACGAACACGCCTCGGACGCCTCGTGTAATGCTGAATGGTGGTGAATGGGTCTCCACGGTGGAGGAGTCAGCTGGCGAGACGATGAGTCATCCTGGCTATGGCCGGGAGCGGTGTTATGGATGAAGTAATCATGTGCCTGTGTGGAGCCCGAAGTATGACCTCCACCACTACTCAGTCCGAAGTCGAACTGTGAATGGAAGGAGTTGGGGTCATGATCGTCCCTGGGGTGGACGAGATGGCCATGGCCATATCTCTGCAAGCTATGTATGCCCATATCTCGCACCCGCTCAACCTGGGCTCTGGTGGGTACGGCTGCTAAGGCATCTGAAAGTGCATCAACCATCGCACCCATATCCCCCGCCTGCAGTATTCATCCATGAATTAGTAATATGATATAGAATTTCAAATAATTTTGGAAAACAAGAAACTGAAAAAACTCACAAGTCCGCTGATAACATCATAAGCTGGATGGTAGTGCGTGGACGGTGGGGTGTAGGTAGGGTTGATGAAAAGGCGTGTAATCTGCGTGTACCATACCATGTAAGGATCACGCGGATCCATAACACCCTGAAACAGGTGACCGTCAACGATGGACTCCAACCGCTAGTCCCAAAGCTCAATGAATTGATGATGCTCCTGCCCAGTTTGTCTCCAACTTTCCACGACGGTCAATGCCGTGGAGGCGAATACTAGTGTCACAGGGCATGGGGATAGGGCAAGGGCATGGGGATAGGCTGGTGAAGTCCGAACTGTCGCAACACTCGGTCCGGTAGGTGGCTCTCCACGACCTCGAAACAGATCATGGGGGTCCTGGCAAGCCACTCAGCACGATGCTCGAGCAAGTGTTCCGGCATGGCCTCTACCAACACAGCAGAATAGGGATCCCATGTCATCTGCAACAAGGATATATCGTAAATAGGTTAGGGCAATGCCAATAAACAGTATAAAGAGTAAACAAACGATTACAAATTTAGTGCAAGATTCCACCTGTTCATCCGAGAGTCGATCGAGGGCGTCACGGTAGTAGAGAAGACCTCTCGCTGTATGCGCATGTGTTAGTCTGGGAACCACCCACCTGTGGCAACAAATTATTTAAGAAGTTGTACTAGCTAATTATAACAAAATTTGAGTACACAAGTATAATGTTACGAACCTACAACCGTATGCCTGATCGGGTTGAGGGAGCGGGGGAGCATCGTATGCTGCGTACTGATCGTCCTGGTCCAGCTGCCCTGGACGGTGTACAACAGGCCTACCTGGTCTCCCTACATGGATGTGCTCCCAAGCCCATAGCTGTTTTAAAAATCAAATAAAAGGTAAAGCATAAATAACGTCAAGTCATTATCAAACTAGGCTTAAGGATAATGATGAGGTTTACCTGTAGCACAACCAAAGGACCTCCAATCAGCTGTGCTCCACGCTGTGATGCTCTACACAGATGGCGATACAAGACCGCCAAACAAGCACTACCCCAACTGTATCCACGGATCTCATCCCAGTCGTGGTCTAACAGCTGCAGGTAAATAATCTGAAGATGGCTTCCGCTCTTATTTCCAAAGAGCACGCCCGAGATGAGCAGGAACAAGTAAGCTCGGGCGTATCTCTGCACTGTGGCGTCGTCAGCGTCCTGAGGTAAATGTCCAAAAGTGTCGCGTAGCCAACCGGTCCTCAGCGCGCTGCCCCTGATCTCGTTTGGCTCTAGCTGAACCCCTAAAACCCGACCTACTAAACCTGCGGGGTCAAGTACCACACCTCCTGTCACCGCATTCCCATGGATGGGAAGGCGTGTGAGTATCGCGACGTCCCGCAGCGTGACTGTCGCCTCCCCCACAGGAAGATGGAAGGAGTGTGTCTCCTGCCTCCATCTCTCAACTAATGCTGTGATAAGCCCTCGATCTATTTCTCTGTAGCCCACGCGATGAATACCACCAAAGCCAACCCAGTCGACGTACTGAAGAACGCGTGGATCGACTGCCCACCGGACCTCAAGTGCCTGCACCCCAACATTTCCGCTATGTCCACCTGGTAATTCATTTAAAAACTGTAAATAAGGGTCAGGTATACAAAAAAACAAGACAAATCTGTATATGAAATGGCACGTGAGAAATTACCGTCTGCTCCCATATGTCAACACTCCGATGTCTATCCTGCAGTGTAAGGACAGAAGGGTCAAGTGGTCCTGGTATCCAATCGTGTCCGACCATGATATCTGTTCATTCAAAACAATATGGCCAAACCAATTAAAAAACAGAATTACTAGTCAATGAAATTGACATGACTGTCACAGGTAAAAGACAAGTACGAAATATAAGTCACCAAATCTCAAATATAATCCAAGCGTTACAAATGTTACATAACGTCATTAATCAACTACTACATGAATCTACTGTTCTACTACTATAGCTAAACAAATACAAGCTTATGTTTCGGTTGATCTAGCTGGGCACGTTTTGCGATTGTGACCTTGTTGGTGACAGCGGCTGCATTTAGTCCTAGGTCGGTTAGTGTCATCCATTTCATTGCGTATGCGCTTTGACTTTGGCCGACCTTTTCCTCTGCGTCCGGGATGAGTCTAGGTCCTATGTACTGCGTCCAAGTGGTCTCACATGGAATAGGCCAGAACTGTGGTGCATACGTGTTCATATACGCATCCGATTGCAGGAAAGGGTCCACCCACGGCCTCTCGGACAGTGAATAAGTCGCACACACTGCTAGAACATGAGAGCATGGAAGGTGGAATATCAGGGGTTTGTTGCATGTACAGGTTCTCAACTGGAAGTTAACAGTGTGTCTATGGCTGTTATAGGCATCCACCTTGTGGTATCTTGCTTTTGCTGTGTTCTTCTCCAAAATAGCAGTGACCTTTGGGGGATATGCAAGTCCCTGTTCGGCCCTGGTCTCAGCTGATTCTCTTCTTAAGGTGAAGTACCTGTTAACTCTGTGGAAAGTTAACTCAACAAGGGACATAACTGGCATGAACCGAGCACCTTTCAAAACATTGTTAAATGTCTCATAGAAGTTTGTTGTACATATCCAATGTCTGCGACCACCGTCGTGAAACAAAGACCACGTAGGAAACGACACTTGGGCAATATACTGTAACGATTTCGTACATGCCTGACCAATCGAAAACAAGTCAGCTTGCAGTTTTCTTTCTTGTCTTTGGTACGCAGCAGCCTTGAACGTATCTCTCGTGATGGTGCTTCGCACGTGAGATTTCAAGTTTGAAGCCAAGTGACGAACACAAAACCTGTGATAGGCTCGGGGTTGAGTGAATCCAATGTTAAGATCATTCATTGCTGCAATAATCCCTGCATGTCGATCAAATATAACACATAAGCCATCTCGTTGCGTAACTCTATCCCGAAGACAGCTCATAAACCAAGACCAGCTGGAAATGTTTTCCCCCTCAACCAACGCAAATGCTAGTGGAAATACTTGGAAGTTTCCATCCACACCTGTAGCAACCAAAAGTGTTCCTTTATACTTCCCGTACAAGTGCGTCCCATCGATACAGATAACAGGCATACAATGTTTGAAACCATCGATACAAGGACCAAATGCCCAAAACACTCGTTCAAATACTTCCATGTTGCTGGTATACCTACCCTCCACTAGAGCTTTGTGTTTCCATATGACTACGGTTCCCTGGTTTGACTGTTGCAGTGCTTGCATGAACTGAGGAAGTCTGCTGTAAGAACTCTCCCAATCCCCAAAAATTTGAGTGATGGCTTTGTCCTTGGCATACCATGCTCTTTTATACGGAACTTCAAAATGGAATTGCTTGGAGATGAGTTCCTGAATGAATTCAACTTTTAGAGTCGGATCTTTCTGCACAAAGGACTTCACAAACTCAGATATTATGGACGAATCCAAGTGTGGGTGATCATTAGATAGTAATTCGGTAACACAGTTCTCCCGATGCGGACCTTTGTATGTGAGTATGGTGAAGCCACGCGAGTGCTCACTTGTCCTGGTACCCCTTAGAGACCATCCACATTTCTTCTTGCAACGCAGATGAAGGACACTCTCATTTGAGGTGACTGTGGTGTAGAATTGATTTCTCTGTATAGAATACATCTTCACCATTTCTTGAAGCGTTTTCTTACTGTCAAAGTACATCCCCTTCTCGAATTCTCCCCCTGGAACAAATGATGTATGACTCCCTGAATTGGCCCAATACTCATCAACTTCATAATTCTCATTTATCTGACTAAACCAGGGTACTGCAGTTCTAACCAAGGGCTCATCAATTTCCATCTGCCCATCTTCAAGATCCATGTCATCAAGCCTATCATACTCCTCCCCATTATCATCCTCATCATCTGTATCCGCATACACATCGTACACCGACAATTCGTTATTTACAATATTATCAAAATGACTCGGGTCTTCTTGAGACGGTGATTCTTGAACCTCTTCTCGCATCGGTGACGGAGCCACGGTGTTTGATGTTGAAGGACCGGATTGGCCAAACATTGTCACACAGCCCCCCGCATGTGCAGGTGATGCTATATGAGGACTAAACGGCATCTGAAATTGATCATCATGCAGCAAGCGACTGAAAGTTCCCATCCCATATTCATTCGATGGAATGTGGTTTGAAGGGCCTTGGAAGGACGCGGTGTTGTAATCGGAGACATATGTAGGATGTTGTTCTGCCCAAGTACTTTGTTGGGTACATATAGGCACTGTTTCTACATATATCTCATTGGGAACACCCTTCATTATAACAATGCTTCTCAAAGCTTTTAAATGTTTGTTTGTGGAGACATGTAACACTTGAACCCCATGCCCAGTCTCACACCTCATTTTAAGGTTCAGTTCAGCATTCATTGGGTTTGAGCCGATACTACTGTGAACCTCATTCATCAGATCATTCACAGTCATGTTCGGTTCAAGTGTTATAAGTTCCATATTCCCTCCACTGTACTCAACATTTGATCCATCGCACATAATTTCACCTCCCCACCGGCATAACAACACTACATTTTGTGAAGCCATATTCTACATACCAACCAAAACACATTTAAGGATAATCGAATTCTAAAACAACGTCAAAAAAACCCTAATTTAACAATACATAACATACATAGCTTCGATAATGGAAAGTTATATCAAATTTCGAGAACCTACATATGTAGCTAATATGACAACAATGAAACAAGTCCATTCTCATTATCAACATTTTCATCACCAATTTCAAAAACTCTTAGTACCGTATGCAACTATCAACATACTAATACCGCATTACCATCAACAATTTTATCATTTTTTTCACAATAATAGACCACATTACCATCAACAATTTCATCAAGAATTTCATCAAAAACAAACCACATTATCATTGACAATTTCATCAACAATTTCGTCGACAATTTAATCAACAATTTCGTCTATATTTTTCCTCAACAATGTACCACATTATCATCAATAATTATCAACAATTTATCACATTTCATTACTAATTAGCAACAAATTAATAAAATTTACATCACAATTTGCTACAACATACAACAACTATCTACTACCAACTATTCAATGTAAAATTCAACAATGTACTACGAATTTAGGGTTTACCCGGATTTAAAGAGTGAGTGAGACAATGCCGGCAATAACTTCCGTCCACTTTGGCGGCGGCAGGGGCGGCGGTACGGCAGGGGAGGCGTTGGCAACGGCTGTGGTTCTTTGTTGCTGACAATGAGAGTTAGTGAGAGAGAGAGTGTAAATTGCGTGAAAGAGATTGAGAAAAAAAGGCCTGGAATTCGTTATAATTCCCGCAAGAAACGCTGCCTGAGGCAGCGTTTAATGTACAGATAAAAATGCTGCCTCAGGCTGCGTTTTATGCTTGTACAATAAACGCTGCCTGAGGCAGCGTTTCATTTAAAGATATAAATGCTGCCTCAGGCAGCGTTTATTTGTATAAAACAGGTATGAAATACGAAGTTTTTGAAAAAAGTCAAACTACCATAAAACGCTGCCTGAGGCAGCGTTTTATGTCTTGATTTTTTTTTAAAAAAAAACTGAGTGTAAAACGCTGTCCGAGACAGCGTTTCACTTCAGAAGCTTAGTTTGGGAAATACTTTTGCCACGAGACCAATTTCGTAAATAATTTCCGTATAAAGCTTAATTTGGGAAAAAATCCTTTGAAACTATCATATTCTTGCAATCAAGCTCTGGACCTTGGTAATTTCTATCTTTGCAGGTATGCCCTTCATTTGGTGCCCATATCATTAAAAGGATTCTTGAAAATTTTGTTTCTGATGAATTTTGCTCAGACAAAATCCCAGCTGCCGTCTTTGAAGCATTGGATGCTCAGGTTAGCCGAACAAAACATATTTTTCCTCTCAATGTCCACCTTCAATTACCTGCTTATCTTCTTTTCCCACCTGCTTTTTTAATTGGTTGTCAATGTGTGATGACATCTTATAAGGAGCACATGCAATTAAGTTGGTCAGCTACAAGAGGCTGCAACACATTCTGAATTCTCGCAGAATGATCTGCAGTTCAACTTGCTAATAATGTTATTTTTTGCAGAGTGTTCATGACGAAGATGAAGGGTCTATCATGAATTGTCCTTGCACAGCACCTGTAGTATCCTATTCTCCTCCGACACCATATTCACTAGCAAGTGCACTTGGGGTAAATTTAGGAAGACAAAGCCCATCCCAGTTACTAAGAAGTGGATCAGTGCTTAGAAGGTCAAACACTAGTGACGATAAATTAGATGAACTGGATTCACCACTCCAAACCATGCTCAGTGAGGGTGTCCAGTCATTTCCTGCTCAAGTAAAAGAAAATCATAAAATGTTGCAAAATCACCAAAACAATGTCATCAGATACCAACTCCTTCGCAAAGTTTGGGATGAAGTAGAATCGTGAATATTATTGCGTATAGCTGTACAGATGTATGAACTGTGTAGCAAGATCCTTTTCCACTCAACAGTTTGTAGGTAAATCCCTGTTGTGACCACTGGAATGACACGGAGCAATGTATAAATCAAGGGTGTAGTATGTACTTTCAATCTTGCTCATCTTGGCCTCTTGGTCATAATATGGAAATAGAACCGTTATGGTTGACATCATTATTCATTAAATTTATCATGTTGCCACAGGGCAATGTATACTATTTATAATATAGCATTAGTTTAAGAAGCATTATGAATTTTGTTATGGAAAAAATATTTAGAATAAAACGATCTTTAGCTGGACTTCTAATATTAAAACGACTTTTGATTAGTCCACAATGATACAACCTTTGGAGAGCATATTGTCACGTGCTGACTAATTCCCCTAGTCTTATGCACGCTAGCCTACTAACTTCCCTCCCTCGGATGCTAGTCAAGGCTTAACCCCGAAATGCTTCAAGCAAGAGTGTGCAACGAAAGTTAAGGAATGTTGAGAACACAAGAGGATATAAATATTTTGGATGCTTTTATATCTTGAGAGAGAGTGTTTACAAGTATTTTCTGAGATGCCTCCAAATGAAGGCCAAGTCCCCTATTTATAGTGTTCTAAGCATGGCCTAGAACCTTCACTAACCTCCTCAAATGGAGGGTTCTAGATCTAATCCTTTCTAGAGTATTCTATACATTTCTTTAGTACATTCCCTCTATGTACAGGACTCTAGAATTATCTACACAACTCTAGAATTTACAGATGATTCAAGGATGTCCTAGGAGGTTCTAGAAGCTTCCGGATGCATCTCGAGTCTCCTTGAGTATTCTGGAACCTTCCGGACTTCTCCTTCAAAATCTAACATCACCATGGTGTTCATTGGGCCTAAAAAGGGTGGACCCCCAAATTTGGGCTCAATCGGACTTCATTTGGGTCCCCAAATAGCCCATTATTGTGTTACTGTCACTTGGGTGTTCACTAGGGTGACAGCACAGTAGCAATATAAAGCTCTATAGGGGGAGGGTGTCTCTGGCCTAGCCAGTGCGCACCAAGGGCATTCCCCCTGGCCACGATTGTTGCCTCCCGTCCAGTGGCCCTAGTGAGGGGTGGAATGTGTGGGTCGTGACATGCTCCCCCACCTAAGTCTTGACGCCCTCGTCAAGATCCCGACTCGAATGCCTCGATCTTGTCCGCAAATTGCCATAAATCTTCTTCTTTTTCCCATGTGGCCTCGCTGTCCGGGAGACCCTTCCAACGAACAAAGTATTCGTTGTAGCTTGGCACACCTCGACGCCTTATGACTCTCTTTGCCTCGATGCTCTCGATGTCCCTTTCAAATGATGCTACCACGGCCGTAGGTGCCCGTTGTGATTTACCCCTGGTCTGATCCTCTAGATCGGCATGGTAAGGCTTCAACATGCTAACATGGAACACCGGATGTATTTTCAGCTTGGGAGGTAGCTCAAGCTTATAGGAAACTTTCCCGACTTTCCTAATGATCGGGAATGGCCCTTCATACTTCCGCACTAGCCCCTTATGCACCTTGCGGAAGACTTTGAATTGGTGCGGCAAGAGCTTCACCATGACTAGGTCGCCTTCTTGAAACTCCAATGGGCGCCTGTTTTTGTCGGCCCACTTCTTCATCTTCTTAGCGGCCTTATTCAAGTAAGCCTTGGTGATGTCGAGCTGCTCGTGCCATCCCTTAGCTAATCTGTAGGCAGCGGGACTGCTACCCGTGTAGCCCGATACAACTGCTTGTGGAGTCAAGGGTTGTTGACCCATGACTATCTCAAAGGGGCTTTGCTGGGTTGCCTCGGACCGCTGCAGATTAAAGGAGAATTGGGCAATGTCTATGAGCTTTGCCCAATCTCGTTGATTGGCACTCACAAAATGCCTCAAATAGAGCTCCAACAAAGCGTTCACTCGCTCTGTCTGCCCATCCGTCTGCGGGTGGAAGCTTGTGGAGAAATGTAGACCTGACCCTAGCAACTTGAAAAGCTCCGTCCAAAGTTTGGTGGTGAACCTTGGATCACGGTCGCTGACGATGCTCTTTGGCAAGCCCCAGTACTTGACCACATTCTTGAAGAATAACTTGGCGGCTTGCTCCCCTGTGCAATCCTTATGTGCCGGTATAAAAGTCCCATACTTGGAAAAGCGATCAACTACTACCATGATAGAGCCAAACCCCTCTGACTTGGGCAAGGCAGATATGAAATCCATTGAGACGCTTTCCCATGGCTTCTCTGGTATAGGCAAGGGCTCCAAGAGTCCTGCTGGCACACGTTGCTCTACCTTGTCTTGTTGGCACACAAGACAAGTCTTCACATAGGCCTCTATATCGTCCCGCATGTGAGGCCAGTAGTATACCTCCTCCAAGAGTGCCATTGTCCGCTGTATCCCAGGGTGACCAGCCCATAATGAATCATGACACTCCTTCATGATGTCCCGCCTAAGGTTGTCCCACTTAGGCACATAGGTGCGACGTCCGACGGTGTAGAGTATCCCATCCTCTATCCAGAAGCGTCGGGTCTTTCCCTCGTTAGCCAAGTCCATCAAACTCTTGGCCATAGAATCCTCCTTTAAACCGTCCTTGATTCGATCAAGGAGGGTGCTAGCTATGCTGCTCACGCTAGCAAAGATTGCCTTGCGGCTTAGAGCATCAGCAACTACATTCACCTTCCCTGGCTTGTACTCCATAGCGTAGTCAAAATCAGCCAGGAAGTCTTGCCATCGAGCTTGCTTGGGGCTTAGCTTCTTTTGATTTTGGAAGTAACTTGTTGCAACATTGTCGGTATAGATGGTGGACCGACTCCGAAGCAAATAATGTCTCCAGACACGCAAGCAATGAATGATAGCTGTCATCTCCTTATCATGCACTGGATATCTCCTCTCAGTGTCATTGAGCTTACGTGACTCATAGGCCACTGGATGCCCTTCTTGCATGAGAACTCCTCCGATAGCAAAATCTGAGGCATCAGTGTGTAGCTCGAATGGCTTTGAGTAGTCGGGCAGTGTTAATACGGGCTCTTTGGTGACGGCATCTTTCAAGTCATCAAAGGCCTCTTGACATTTGTCGCTCCAACACCATTGTGCCTTCTTCTTTAACAAGTCAGTCAATGGCGCCGCCCGTGCTGAGTAGCTCATGATGAACCGCCTGTAATAGTTGGCGAGCCCAAGGAAAGAACGTAGTTCCGACACGTTCTTGGGCTCCTCCCATTCCCTGATGGCTTGCACCTTGTCATGCTCCATCATTATCTTTCCGGCTCTAATATGGTGTCCCAGGAATGACACCTCCTCCTGTCCGAACGAGCACTTCTCTTGCTTCACATAAAGCTCGTTCTCTCGTAAGACCTGGAACACCTGTCTCAAATGCTCCACATGATCTTGTAAGTTGTCGCTATACACGACGATATCGTCGAGATAGACGACTACAAATTTATCAAGGAAAGGCCGAAAAATCTTATTCATTAAGGTGCAAAAAGTAGCAGGGGCGTTGGTGAGTCCAAAAGGCATCACCAAGAACTCATAAGAACCATACCTGGTCACGCATGCCGTCTTCGCTTCGTCCCCTTCGGCGATGCGTACCTGCCAATACCCCGATCGCAGGTCCAACTTGGAGAAGTACCGTGCTTTGCCGAGTCAATCGAACAAATCGGCGACTAACGGGATTGGATACTTGTTCTTGACAGTGATCTTGTTGAGAGCCCGATAGTCAATGCACATTCGCAAGCTACCATCATGCTTGCGTTGAAATAGTACTGGTGCTCCAAATGGTGCCTTTGAGGGCCTAATGAACCCTGCTTCCAGCAGCTCCTTCAATTGCTTCCTCAATTCCTCGAGCTCTGGTGGGGCCATGCGGTATGGTGCCATGGCTGGAGGCTTGGTCCCTGGCTCCAGCTCAATCTCGTGATCCACCTCCCTTCTAGGAGGTCGTCTCTTTGGTAGCTCCGGAGGCATCACATCCTTATACTCTACAAGGACTCCGGAGATTTCTGATGGAACCTCATTCCCAT